AGAGGCAGCGGGCGGCTCCCGCTCCCAGCCTCGGTCTGGGCTCTCCCAGCGGCTTGAAGGGTTGTTGTTGTTGTTGTTGGGGGTGCTCAGACCCTCCATGTTATCCACTTCCCCTGGTACCTGCGCCATCAGGGAAGGTGAGGCCTGGAATGGACAGAAGCAGGTTAAAGCAGGGAGCGGCCCAAGGGCAGAGAATCTATCCCTCAAGGTCACTGGCCCCAAGTCCTGTGCCTTCTCTCCGGCTCCTTTTCCCCCATCTTCCTTGCCTTTGAAGTGGATATATGAGGGGCCAGAGTGACAGTACAGCAAGTAGGGTACTTGCCTTCCACGTGGACCACCTCAGTTCAATTCCTTAGCACCGCTAGGAGTGATCCCTGAGCACAGAGGCAGGAGTAAGCCCTAAGTACCACAGGGTATGATTCCCAAACAAACAAAAATAAACAAATAAAAAATGGCAGATATGTACAGGCTGGAGAGATAGTTCAGAAGGTAAGGTGCTTGCCTTGCATGCAGCTGACCCTGGTGCTTCATATGGTTCCCTAATCACTCATGTACCATCAGGGGTCACTCCTGAGCACAGAACCAGGAGAATTCCCTGAGCACCAAATGGAAAATTAAGTGAACTCAATGGCAAGGGCCGGAGAGATAGTGCAGCAGGAAAGGCTTGTAAGTGGTTGACCAACATTCAATCTCTGGCATTACATATGGTCCCCTGAGCCTGCCAGGAGTGGTCCCTGAGCATAGAGCCAGGAGTCAGCCCGAAGCACTGCTGGGCATGGCCCCAAATCAGCCTCCCCCATCCCCCGCCACCAAAAAAAAAAAAGAAAGAATTATGATGTTATTATCCAAATAACTCTAGTAATAACACTAATGAACATTTATTAGCACTTGCACTGTGCTCAGTACTTGTAGGCATGATCTTATTTAATTTGCACAAATTAATTCCCAAGAGACAGGCTATCATTAGGTCTATCATTCGCAGGGGAGGAAACTGGGGCACAGAGAGATTAATTCATTTGCCTGAGATCACACAGCGAGAATGTAGGCAGGAGTGAGAAAACTGGGACACAGAGAGATTAATTCACATGCCCGAGATCACACAGCGAGTGTGTAGGCAGGAGTGAAATATAGCTACTATGATCAGATGACGGCATCAACAGCCCCCATACGTCACCCTTATGGACTCAGTCACTGCCACAGAACTCTGCATTCTCCAACTTGGGATGGGGAAGCAGAAGAAGGCTCTCAGAAGCTCCTCTTGCCCCTTGGCTGGTTTGGTTACCCCACTTAGCTTTCACCAATTCAGTAGATATGAAATGCTGGTAAATTCTGAGTCTCGGACTAAAGAGACCTTGTGTGTTTTTGCTTGTACTTGGTCATGACCATGAAAGCTCTCCTAAGGCCACATTCTGGGTCTGATGCTTCCCTCCCTCCAGCCCAGGCCAGACAGAGCAGCAAAGAGTCCACACACACCTCCATCCAGACACATGAGGAAGGTCAGCAGAGAGCAGAAAAACTGCCCTGCTGAGCTCAGCCTAAACCGCTGCTGAGTTCAGACTCAGGGCTAAATAAAGGCTTTGTGTTTTAAGACTCTGAGTTTGAGCTTGCTTGCTTTTTCAAGCCCATACTCTCTCTCTCTCTCTTTCTCTCTCTCTCTCTCTCTCTCTCTCTCTCTCTCTCAACCTCTCTCTCTCTCTCTCTCTCTCCTCACTTTTTTTCACTCTAGAGAAGCCTCTGTTCTCTCTTACACACGTATGCCTCACAGCTGGAGCGATAATACAGTGGATAGGATGCTTGCCTTTCATGTTGCCAACCTGGGTTCTATCCCTGCTACCCCATACGGTTCCCTGAGCACTGCCGAGCATGATCCCTGAGCACAGAGCCAGGAGTGAGCCCTAAACACTGCCAGGTGTGGTCCAAAAACAATAAAGAAAAAAAGTACACATATTCCTCTCTTTCTCATGTTTAAGTAAATTTCTTTCAATAAAACCATTTTTTCTGGAGCTGGAGCAATAGTACAGTGGATAGGGCGTTTGTCTTGCACGTGGTAGACCAGTGTTCAATCCCCATATGGTCTCTTGAGCACCTCCAGGAGTAATTCCTGAGTGCAGAGCCAGGAGTAACTTCTGAGCAACGCTAGGTGTGATCCCAAAAGCAAAACAATGACCAAAAAACTATTTTGCTTCAATTTTTTAAAAAAAGACACAGGGCTGGAGAGGTAGTACAGTGGTTAAGGCACTTGCCTTGCAAGCCACCGACCCAGATTCAATCCCCGTCATCCCATATGGTCTGTAGAGCCTCACCAGGGGTAATTCCTGAGGGCAAAGCCAGGAGTAAGCCCTGAGCATTGCTGTGTGTGGCCCAAAAACCCAATAAATAAATATGAAAAAAAAATGATGGGGTCGGAATGATAGTACAGCAGGTAGGGCATTTGCCTTGCATACGGCCAAAACAGATTCGATCCCCGGTATCTCATATGGTCCCCTAAGGACCCGCCAGGAGTAATTCCTGAGTGCAGAGCCAGGAGTAACCCCTGACCATTGCCAGGTATGGCCCAAAAAGAAAAAAAAACACTGAGTTTGGGGGTGACTTTTATGCAGCAGTATTGTGGCAACAGCTGACAATAGTCTTACTTCAGAGTAATGTTTCAGAACACTGTCAGATTGAAAACAAGAAGTTTAAAAGTCTAAGAAGCATCAGAATCATCTCCTCCATCCTTGGTTCTGACTAGATCTGGGCACCTCAAAGGAAGGAAACTCCCCCCACTCCAAGACTCAGACAGGTGCCAACCCCTAGATGCTAGGAAGGACATCCCAAATGCCTTTCATTTGGGGTGTCTTTCATTCCTCTGCAGAAAGGCACATAGCCACCTACCACCTATGTAGGCACTAACCCCCTCCCTGCCTTAGTTTGCTCCCCTCTAAAATGGAAACACAGTGCCAATCCCCTGGGGGTGTTTTAAGCAGGATCCGATCAGTAACACAGGAGCTGTACTCCTGGAGTTACAGAATACCGGCAAGTCCTCATCCTCCAGAACCGGATGCTTTTACGCCTTCCCTGGGTTCCACAGCTCAGATTATCCAGGCGGCTGCATTGGGACTGAACAGACAGGGTTTCAGATCTGGCTTTCCTCTAGCTGTATCTTTCACTTGGCTGCTCTGTGCCTCAGTTTCCCCCCCTTATCCGGCGATCACAGCTGCTCCTCAGTAGAAGAAACTTGGGGGTGGGGAGCTCTTAGCACTTGGTGAGCTCTCCAGCTCTAGCACCATGGGAGAGCAGGGGGCCTCCTGGCCATTAGGGCATGAATGGGTAAGGTGGGAATTGGCAGAAAAGGCGTTCTGGGCCCCAGCATAAGCCACCGGCCTAGGCAGACAGTGGGAGAGGAGCTTTAACCCTTCCGGGGCCGCGCCTCCCTCTGCAGTTTAGTCACCGTTCGGGAGGAGGGGGACCTGGGAAGGACAAGGCCCGGAGTGCTAGACCCACGCACGGCGCCGCCACTGGGCTGGGGGAGGGGGTTCCCTCTGCCCAGACCCTCCGCCTCCCCGCAGCCGGGAAGACTTGGTATTGGGGGGGCGTGGGGGGTGGTCTCAGGACAGGCCCGCGGCGCGCGGCCCAGGGATGCTCGGGCAGGTGGGGAGATGCTGGAGGGAGGGGCTGCCCGTCCCCCAGGCCGCTCACCTGGGCCTGCGGCCGCCGGTGCCACCGTCCCCGCTGCTCGCCGCGTCCGGCCGCCCTCCCGGTCGGCGTCCGCGGCCCGGCCCGGCCCGGCCCGGCCCGGCTCTGCTCGGCCCCGCCGGCCCCGCCGCGCCGCCAGATCCGCATGCGCCGCCGCCGCCGCCGCCGTCGCGCCTCCCCCCGCTCGCGCTGCCGCCGCTCGGCGCGTCCCCGGGACCCTCCCTCGGCCCCGCGGCTCGGGCTCCCGCGCACGGTCAGCGGCGGCCACGCGGGGGTGCAGGGAGACACCCCCGAGGGACCGTCGCCCACACGCGGGGGCACACGGCGTCACTCACAGGCACGTCCACCCCAGCCCATCACAGGCGGGTCCCTCAGGGACAAGCACGCCAAGGTGGCACGGGGCGGGGACGAGTTCCCCACCGCGTCACGCGAACCGGGGCACTCAAGGGGGTGTCACCACCGTGGGCGCGGCGTCACGCAAGCACATCTGTGTCACTCACTGTCCCGCGCAGGATGATCCCTGCCACACACTTTTACACTCAGGAGCGTGTCACCCACTAGCTGGGGGTGGGGGGCGGGCCATAACCCGCGAACGGTCATGGTCACCCCCCCCAGTCACGGGAAGTCACAAAGCGCCTCACAGCAGAACCACCACACACTCGAGGCGGGGGGGCCCGGTGCCACACATGTCACCAGCGGTGTCACACCACCGCAGCCCCTCAGTCACGAGTCGCACGCGCACCTTCTCCCCCAGGGTCACGAATGCATAGAGGACCACAGACTGACACCCGGGGGTGCCCCAGGGTCACTACGGACAAGTCACACCAGAACAGCCTCCGTGAAGGGGAGACACAGGCTGTCAACCCACCCTCAGGCGCTCCCTCTGGATGACTCCGAGTCGCCCAGGGCCACACGCGCATGTGGACACTGAGGTCACACAGGGTCAGTCACACCCACACAGCCACACGGTCCTCGCCAGCAGCTTCTAGGAGGCACCGGCTTCAGCGGAGGAGCGAGTTCAAATCCGCCTGGAGGAGCGAAAAGAAAAGGGGGCGTGTGTTAGGGGGGGCGAGATGTGGGCGTGGCCAGATATGGCCCCGCCCCGGGAGGCGCCGTGTGGGGGCGGGACACTGGGTGACAGTCTCTCTCTCTCTCGTAGTCTGGTCCGCCCGGTCCTTCCAGCTGTCCAAACGCAGCCACGCCCCTTAGCCCAAGAGGCGGGCGGAGGGCGGGAAGGGGCGGGGCTCCCGGAGAAAACCCGCCCCTCCTGACCCCGCCTCCCGTCCTTCCGCGGTGGGGGTGTGGCCTGGTGGCTCCTCCCTTTTCCCCTAGCCGCGCCGAGGCGGGGCCCTGTGCGCGGCCCCGCCCCGTCCCTCCCGCTAGAGAACCCTCAAGAGGGCGGTCCCGAGGGCCACTCGGTTCCCGCGCGACCACGCAGCATGGCTGTCAAGAAGATTGCGATTTTCGGCGCCACCGGCCGGACCGGGCTCACCACCCTGGCGCAGGCGGTGCAAGCAGGCATGAGCTGGAGCGGGCGGGGAGTGTCATGGTTGACCCCTAGGATGGAGAATCCGGGTGGGGGGTGGGGGGTGACGGACGGGACCGAGGCGGGTGGCAACCCAGATGGCAGGAATGGGGTGGGAGGTTGTAAAAATATCCAATTTTAATGTGATTTCAAAGAATAGAGGAACTCAAAGGCAGGATTAAGTTCAGGGCATTTAGGAAATGTTATTACGGTGTTGAGATGGTTGTGCTGGAGAGGGTGGTGGTTAGCGCACCCTAGGAGGGTCTAAGAAGCCAGGGATCAGTTTACCACCCCCCCACCCCACCCCCAGAACCACTCTCTCTTCACTCTTAACTCCTCCCTGTTCTGGGAGGTGGGAAAGAGTCTGAATTCATTGACAGAAGAGGATACTGTCATCCAAAGACTGACTTGCCCAATAACACAGCGTAGGGATTTAAACTCTGTTCTGGCTCTTTTTTGGTTGGGGGGGGGCCTCAACCAACAATGCTCAGAGGCCACTCCAGTGCATTGTTCAACACTTGTTCTAGGCGGTATTGGGAGGCCGGGCGGTGGCGGGGGATTGAACCCCAAGCTCCTGATGGAATTCCTGTTTGGCACTCTCTCCCTAACTCTCAGCCTTCATTCTGTTGTTTTGATTTGGGGGGCCTGAGTACCACACCAGGTAGTGCTCAAGGGGTAGCAGGATTGGTACCCAAGGTGAGCGCCTTGTGATCTCTCAGTCCTCATCCCTTCTCCTACCCACGGTACTCCTCTGCCTCTCTATATGGGCACCCAGGCCCAAAGCTTACAAGGCTGGTGGCTGGCAGGCTGTTGCTTAGTGTCATACCAAGATAATCTTAGAGACATGATCAAAGTCTAGAGGACCCTGGGGTGGGAAAGTCAAGGAGGGCTCTACCGACATTCAGTTGACCCAGGAAAGGGGCAGCATGTACCACTCCCTCCCCCTACTGTCTTGACTTCAACCCCCCAGCTGGGCTGAGACCTCCAGATAAAGGGCCCCACCTTTGCTAGCCACAGCGGCTAAAGATATCAACTATCTGGGTGCTCCAAAAGGGTGGAGGCCCCCTGGGCCCCACTCTGCTGCCTCCCAGCCCAGCCAGACAGCTTCCCATTAGGCCCACTGCTCCCCTCCTCCACCTTTCTACCTCCATCGTCGTCCTCCTCAGACCCCAGGACTGAGGGAGGATATTGAATTATGGGGAGGGGAGACATGAATGTGCTCAGGAACGCTTCTGGGGGAGGTACTGCAGAAAAGCTGAGATGCTGAGTCACCCTAAGGATCACATACCCACTGCACTACCTTCCTGTAATCCTGAAATCCACCCAGGGCCCCACATACCCCCTGCTGCTCACCACTGGAACTGCACCCCAGGAACTCAGGCTGGGCCCTACTGGCCTAAGGCTGTGACAAGTCCCTCCACCTGTCCCCATCAGAAGGAAGAGTTCCAGCAAATAGGACAACCTGCCTGCCTGCTTGCCTTCCCTCTTTCCCTCCTTCCTTCCTTTCCTTCCTTCCTTCCTTCCTTCCTTCCTTCCTTCCTTCCTTCCTTCCTTCCTTCCTTCCTTCCTTCCTTCCTGCTAAGTCACTCACCTTGCTCACGGCCAACACGTTTGATCTCCCCAGCACCCTGTATGGTTCCCAGGACTGACCCCAGCAGGACTGATCCCTGAGTGCAGATCCAGGAGTAAGCTGTGAACAATATTGGTGTGTCCCAGAAAACAACCAAATAAAAGAAAAAGTCAGGAAAGGGTCAGGGGGCTGGTGTGATGGGGCTGGAGAGACAATACAGTGGGTAGGGCGCTTGCGGTGCACTCAGCCCACCAGGGTTTGATCCCTGGAATTCCATAGAGTCCCCTGAGCCTTCCAGGAGTGATTCCTGAGTGCAGAGCTAGGAGTAAACACTGAGCACATCTGGGTGTGGCCCCCCAAAAAAACAGGGGGGCACTGGTGTGGCGCCAAAGAGGTAGTACAAGGGGTAAGGTGTTTGCCTGAACTCAGAGCCAGGAAAAAGTCCTGAACACTACCAGGTGTGGCCCACCTTCCAAAAAATATTCCCCCTGGCTTCCTGGCCCTACTGGACTGCTGGAGAGATCATTCCCTTCCCCCCAAATCAGGGAACTATGACACAGTCCCTGAGCCCAGAAAGCCCTGTTTATTCCAGATCAGCAAATGTAGCACCCTGACAGGAAGCACGGCACTCTGGGTTGAGGAAGGAAGGTACTAGGAGCTCCAGGCCAAGGGCACAGCATGTGCCAACGCCAGGGAGCAGTGGATGCGACTGAGGAACTGGAAGCTGGTATAGTGGCTAATGGGTTGGGCCCCAGCACAGCAGAGGAGGAACAGCTGGGTCTCCTGGGATTTTGAAGGTGCCTGAGAGGTGAAAGACATGCACTTTACCTCAGGCAGTGGATGGCCTCCAGAAAGCATGTGAGCAGAGGACACTTACATATCACCTCAGGAAAGCTGGCTCTGGCCTTGTGGAATAGAGAGGGGGGAGAGGGGGTAGGCAGGGCAGTGGACGTGAGACTACAGGTCAGGAAAGACTACAGCCAGAAATCAGTGCCCATTCCTGTGTGGGGCTTTTCACTCCTGCATTTTAGTTTTGCATTTATAGCTTTATTAAGATGTGGGGCAGGAGCATTAGTACAGCAGGTAGGGCATTTGCCTTGCACACGGCCAACCCGGGTTCAATTCCCAGCATCCCATATGGTCCCCTGAGCACCACCAGGAGTAATTCCTGAGTGCATGAGCCAGGAGTAACCCCTGTGCATCGCCGGGTGTGACCTAAAAAGAAAAAAAAGAAAGATGTAATGCACATACAGTTCACCCACAAAAGTACAGGAGTCACATAGTACAGAAGTAAAGGCACTTCTCTTGCCTGCATCCCATGCTCAGAAGTGACCGCTGAGCACAGATCTGGGATCATTGTGGGGAGCTCCACCCACCTTCCACATTTTAAAAAATAAAGTATAGGGGCTGGAGAGATAGCACAGCAGGTAGGGCGTTTGCCTTGCATGCGGCCAGCCCCAGTTCGATTCCCAGCATCCCATATGGTCCCCTGGGCACTTCCAGGAGTAACTCCTGAGTACAGAGCCAGGAGTAACCCCTGTGTATCGCCAGTTGTGACCCAAAAAAAAAAAGTATAAAATTCTGTAGGGTTTTTTTCTGGTTTGTTTTTGGGCCATACCTGATGGTCTTCATGAATCTGTGCTCAGAGATCTGACTGAAGGATTCGGGGGACCATATGGGGTGCCAGGGATCAAACATGGGTGAACTGCATGCCAGGCAAGCACCCTGCCTACTGTACAATTGCTTCAGCCCTTTTTTGTTGTTGTTGTTGTTTCATTTGGGGCCAGCAAACAATATTGAACCCAGCAGTGTTCAGAGCCTTCTCCTGGCTCTGTACTCAGGGATCACTCCTGGCAATGCTCGAGGGACCATATGGGGTGCTAGGGTTCCAACCCCAATTGCCGCGTACAAGGCAAGCGTCCTCCCTGTTGTACTATCACTCTCGCCCACCCAGCCTCTTATTTTTTAACTTTTTTTTTTCAGGGGAGAGGGGCTTGAGCCACACCCTGCTGTGTTCACGTCTTACTCCTGGCTCTGTGCTCAGGGATCACTTTTGGCAGTAATCAGGGGTCCCTAGTGATGCCGGGAGTCAAAACTGGTTGGCTGCATGCAAGGCAAGCACCCTTCCTGCTACACTATCTCTCCAGCTCCATTAATTAGTTTTTATCATGGCCACAGAGTGGTGCCAATATCAGCCCAGTGGATATGGAGTATTTCCATTATCCCTTGCCCCTGCAAAAAACAAAAAACAAACTAGAACTCATCTCCCTTTTTTCCTGCCTAACTCATCCATCAGTCCTAGACAAGGACTCATCAACTTTCTGTTAGTACAGATTTGCCCCTCTTAAGGTGGGGCCCAAGGCCTCATAGAGCAAATGTTCTACCTCTCAGTTACCTTCTGGGGCTCCTTAATTGATCAGTTTGTTTGCTTATGGTCACCACCCAGCTGTGCTCAGGGCTTACTCGTTGCTCTGCCCTCTAGAATCACTCATGGTGGGCTCAGGGATCATATGGGGTGCTGGAGATTGAACCTGGGTTGGCTACATACAAGGCAAACACCGTATGCACTGTACTACCGCTCTGCCCCAAAATTGGCCGTTTGTAGACATTTTGTAGAAATGGAATCATAGAAAAACTAGCATCTGGAGCTGGAGTGATAACCCAGTGGGGAGAGCGTTTGCCTTGCATGTGGCCCACCCAGGTGTGATCCCTGGCATCCTGTATGGTCTTCCAAGTACTACCAGGAGTAATTTCTGATAACAGAGCCACCAGGAGTAACCCCTGAGCATCACTGTGACCCAAAAAGCCCCCCTCCAAAAAAACAACAACAACAACAACAACACCCAGCATCTAAGGTCATTCCTCTGAACCAACCAAACTAAACTGACTTCTTGATACGGTCCACTTTCTCAGGCATCCATTGTAGCATTATTGAGTCATTTTCTTCACTTACAGAATATTATTTATCACCTTCTGCAGATGGACAGTCGATTGTTTTTTTGTTTTTAGTTTTTTGGGCCATACCTGGTTGTATTCAGGGGGTTATTCCTGGGTCTACACCCAGGGATCACGCTTTCTGGAATTCTGGCAACCATATGGGGTGCCTAGAATCAAAACTGGGTCAGCTTCCTGTGATGAGCCACCCAATTTCTTGTACTTTCTCTCTGGCTCACAGATGGACACATTTTATCTCTCCATTTGGCCTTGGAATGACTTCGAGCACGTCTTGGTTATTATGAATAAAGCCTGTAAGAACATGCAGGCACACCATGTTTTGTTGTTTGTTTGTATGTCTGGGGGCCATATTCAGCTATGCTCAGGGGTCTGCACTCAGGGATCATTCATCAGGGCCTCAAAGGACAGTGTAGGGTGCCGGGGATTGAACCTGGGTGGGCCATGTGCAAGGCAAGCATTCTACCCTCTGTACTATATGTTTGCATTTCTCTTAGGAGAAATGTTTTTCTCCCTAGGAGTAGAATTGCTGAGTCACATGGCAACTGTATGTTTACCCTTTTGAGGAAGTACTACTCTATTTCCCCAAGCTGCTGAGTCATTCAGTGTTCCCTCGATGTGAGGGTTCCCATCTAGACTAGCGCACACCCCGTTTTCCTCTGTCCTTTGGGCGCCCATCCTAGGGCATCTGAAGAGGTTTCTCACTGTATGGGGCTGGATAGAGTGTTGGGGGTTAAGGCACTAGCATTGCATGTGGCCAACCCCAGTTTACTCCCTGATACCACTTACAAGCACTCTCAGGGCTCACTCCTGAGAACAGAGACAGAAACAGCCCTTCACAGAACTGCCAGATCTGATCCCCCCCCCAAAAAAAAGAGAGAGGTATCTTACAGTAGTTTTTATTTGCATTTCCCTGATGGCTTATAATATTGACTATCTTTTCTTTTCTTTTCTTTTTGCTTTTTGCTTTTTGGGTCACACTCGTTAATGCACAGGGGTTACTCCTGGCTCATGCACTCAGGAATTACTCCTGGTGGTGCTCAGGGGACCATATGGGATGACTATCTTTTCATGTGATTATTGACCATTTGTGTATCTTCTTTGGAGCAACATTCTACCCAGTTCATTTTTTTCAGGGGTATTCCTGGTTGTGCTTAGGGGATGCTTGGAGGACCATGTGGGGTGCCAGGGATTGAACCCTGGCCACCCCAGTGCAAAGCAAATGTCCTCCCCACTGTACTATCTCTCCAGCTCCTTGTTTTTTGTTTTTTGGGGAGCCAGGGCTTACTCGGGATACTGCCCTCAGGGATCTCTCCTGGCAGGGCTCAGGGACCATATATGGTATCAGGGATCAAACCCCAGGGTCAGCCATGTGCAAGAGAAACACCTTACCTGCTAGCCTAACTCTCTAACCCCCTATTATTTTTTCCAAGTTGTGAAGTTCTTTATATATTCTAGGTACAAATCTTTATCAAATACACATTTGTTGGGGCCTGAGAGATAGTATAGAGGTTATGACCTTGAATATGGCTAATCCCATTTCAGTCCCCAGGGAACCCTGGGCAGAGCACCAGAATAGCACCCTCCAGTACTGCCAGGTACAACCTAAATCCCATAACCCCCACTCCCCCCCCCAAAAAAAGCAGTTGTATGATTTGTATAATGTCTTCTCATTTTCTTTTTTGGAGGGGGGTGCTCACACCTCATGATGTTTAGGGCTTTTTCCTGGCTCTGCTCAAGGATCACTCCTGGCAGAGCTTACGGGACTATATGCAATACTTGGGATCAAACCTGAGTCAGCTATATGCAAGGCAAGTACTTTACCTCCTACTTTCTCTCCATTTGGGGAAATGGATTTAGAACTTCTTACTTTCTTAAATGTGTGCTTGAAGCCAAAAACATTTTGCAGTTTTGAGGAAACAGTTGTGCTTTGGGTGGCCTAGCTAGGAAATCAGTGCCCCATCCAACCTCACAAGATTTTTGTCTTTGTTTCTTTCTAAGAGTTGTGTGGTTGTGGGGGCCAGGAAGATAATACAGTGGGTAAGGCGCTTGCCCTGCACACAGCTCACCCAGGTTCGATCCCTGGCATTCCTCAAGCTCCACCGGGAATGATCCCTGAGCACAGACCCAGGAGTAATTCCTAAGAATTGCAGGGCATGGTCCAAAAGCAAAAGACTGTTGCGTATGGTTGTATTACTGGCATTTAGTTCTTTGATCAATCTGAATTAATTTTTGTATGTGGAATGATAGGCCCAAATTCCTCCTTCTACCTTGACTATCCATCAGTACCCACAGATCATTTTGTTGGAAAGACTATTCTTGATCCCTGACCACAGAGCCAGAAATAACTCCTTAGCACCAGTGGGTGTGGTCCAGTCCCCTCTACACACACATCACAAAGAAAATTAAAAGGAGGGCCAGAGAGATAGTACAGCAGGTAGGGCATTTGCCTTGTGTTTGGCCAAACCGAGTTTGATCCCCAGCATCGCATATGGGTCCCCTAAGCCTGCCAGGAGTGATCCCTGAGTGCAGAGCCAGGGGTAATCTCTGAGCATCACTGGGAGTGGCCCAAACACAAAGACATAAAAAAGAAGGAAAAAGACAATTAAAAGAGATTATTCTTTCCTTATTGAACTGTGTTGGTACATTTTTTTTTTTTTGGTGGGCGGTGGGGACACATCTGGTGATGCTCAGGATTTACTCTTGGCTCCGCACTCAGGGTTCACTCCTCGTGGGGCTTGGGAGACCATATGTGGTCCTGGGACTCGAACTCAGGTCTGCCACATGCAAGGCAAGTGCCCTATCCACTGCCTTGCCCAGCCCCTATCTTGGCACAAAAATTATTTTAGCGGGCCAGTGAGATAGTGCAGCAGGTAAGGCACTTACTTGGCTTGCATGTGTCCAACCGAGTTCGATCCTCAGCATCACATATGAGCACCTGAGCACCACCAGGAGTGATTCCTGAGTGAAGAGCAGGAGTAAGCCCTGAGCACTGCTGGGTGTGACCCAAAACCAAACCAAAAAATTGTCTTGACAATTGGCAATGTTGTCAGATGACTCACAATACATTCTTTTTTTTTTTTTTGGCTTTTTGGGTCACACCCGGCGATGCACAGGGGTTACTCCTGGCTCTGCACTCAGGAATTACTCCTGGCGGTGCTCAGGGGACCATATGGGATGCTGGGAATTGAACCCGGGTCGGCCGCGTGCAAGGCAAACACCCTACCTGCTGTGCTATCGCTCCAGCCCTCCCACAATACATTCTTAGATATTTTATTTAAAATGGCAGCAACTTGGGGGTTGGAACAGTAGCACAGTGGGTAGGGCATGTGCCTTGCTTTTGGGTGTGACCCAAAAAAGCAAATAAATAAATAAAAATTAAAAAAAAAACAGCAGCAACTCTAAGGCAGAAACTATTATTAGTGTCACTTTACAAATAAAGTCCAGAGAAGCTAAGTGGATTGCCTGGTTTTCAACAGCTGAAGCACACAAGGGCTTGAAGTCCATCTCTTGTTTCCCTGAGGTTTATATCATTAATAAGCAATAATAACTGATACCTGCAAGGCACTTGGCACTTCACACATAATGCTACTTTCTAAATATTATGTAACCTGGCTACGATTATCATCGTTCTCTAATGTCAACAGCTCCTGTAAATTTTTTTGTTTTGTTTTGGGGCCACATCCAGCTGTGCTCAGGGCTTACTCCTGGTTCAATATACACAAGGTTCACTCCTGGCAGGCTTGGAGGACCATATGGGAAACTGGGGATCAAACCCAGGTCAGTGTAAGGCAAGCACCCTCCTGTGATTTATTTTCTAAGGGGGTGACAGCTGTCAAGAAAAGTGGGGACTGGGGCAGAGCCATAAAACAGTGAGTTAGGCATTTGCCTTGCTTGCAGCCGATCTGGGTTTAATCCCTGGCATCCCATATGGCCCCCTGAGCAGTGGCAGGAGTGATTCCTGAGTGTAGAGCCAGGAGCAACCCCTGAGCTTTGCCAAAAAGAAAAAAAAAGTGGGCGGTGAGGGTCGCTGGAGAGAATGTACAGCGGGTAAGGCACTTCCGTTGCCCATGGCTGGCCTGGGTTCAATCTCCAGCACCCTAGATCATCCCCTGAACAACAGAATCAGGAGTAAGCCCTGAGCACCACCAGGTGTGTAGCAAAAAACAACAACAACAAATAAATAAATAAATAAGAAGGAACAATCTGATTTTTGACCCGCTTCCTTTATCATTTTCAGAATAATGGCTTCATCCTTCCATAGCTTCCAGTGGTGAGCGGTGAGGTTAGCTTCGGGTACAGATGTCTATAGATTCAGGAGGTTCCTTGCCCTATCATTCCTTTGAACAAATGTCCCCTCCTTCACGAAGCACTGGCAGGAGAAGCTGCTCTAGTTCATCGGGTCTTTCCCTGGCATCCCATTCCTCAGCCACGTCTCCTAAGAGTTGCACTGAGTTTTTCAGGACAGCAGGAGAATGACAAGGACACTGCAGAGAGCACCAGAGTTTGAGGGACCTGGAGGGGGTATTGTGAGCAGTTCTGGAATCTGGCAAATTTCAGGTGCTAAAGGGGCCTGAGAGATAGTAAGTGGGGAGGGCATTTGTCTTGTAAATGGCCAACCTAGGTTCAAGCCCCAGCATCCCATATGATCCCCCAAGTCCACCAGGAGCAATTCCTGAGTGCAGAGGCAGGATTAAGGCCTGAGCATTGCCCGGTGTGCCCCCCAAACAAAACAAAACAACAATCCAGTTGCTAATAGATGTGACTCTTGGCAGAGAGGTGTGGGGCATGGGGTGCAGAGAGGGTAGGAGAAAACGGGGGTGTCATATGTTTGAAGGCCACTGTCCCTATATGGAAACCTGGGGGATGTATATGGGGCATCCTAGGACCCAGCCGCTGGGGTGCCATCGCCAGCCCCCTGACCTGTCTCTCTGTCCCCGTTTGCCTGCAGGTTACGAGGTGACGGTGCTGGTGCGGGATGCCTCCCGGCTGCCCTCAGCGGGGCCCCAGCCGGCCCACGTGGTGGTGGGGGACGTTCGACAGGCAGCCGATGTGGACAAGACGGTGGCTGGGCAAGATGCCATCATCGTGCTGCTGGGCACCGGCAGTGACCTCAGTACTGAGCCCCCCCTCTGCCCACGCCCCATCCCTGTACCTCGGCCCCCAGCACCACCTCCACCCCCCGCCCCACCCCTGCCACCGCCACCGCCACCGCCTACCAGTTACAGCTTTCTGTCCCCTCTAAGGTCCCACCACGGTGATGTCCGAGGGGGCCCAGAACATCGTGGCGGCCATGAAGGCCCACGGCGTGGACAAGGTCGTGGCCTGCACCTCGGGTGGGTGGTGGGTCAGAGCGGCGGGGCTGCGGGGACTGGGGGGAGTGGTCAGGGGCTCTGCGGGCCTGTACAGATGTGCACTGGAAGCATCCCAAGTTCACCGCATACTTATTGAGCACCAGCTGTGTGCCTGAGTCTGAAGTGGTGGCCAGTGGGTCAGAGTTGTCACCCAAGGGGGTGTTGCTGGGCTGGAGTGATAGCATAGCAGGTAGGGCATTTGCCTTGCACAGGGTTGATCCGGGTTTGATTCCCAGCATCTCACATGGTTCCCTGAGCACCACCAGGAGTGATTCCTGAGTGCAGAGCCAGGAGTAACCCCTAAGCATCACCAGGTATGACCCAAAAAGCAAAAAGAAAAAAGGGGGGGATGTTGCTGACAGGGGATCAGTGAAGATGGAGAAGCTTAGGCAGCCTCTGGCTTCTGGCTGCACAACTCTGTGGATAGGTCTAACCTTCATGCCCCCTGGTGGACTGCGCCCCCCCCCAGTGGTCCAGAGGGAGGCTCCAGGCAAGCTGCATGGTGGGGAGGGTCCCCCCTACCTCATTGCCAACTTCAGCCCTTGGGTGGTCACTGAGCACTCCCTGTACAGAGTCTCTTGGGAATGGTGCCCACGAGGGCCTTCTGTGTCCTAAGTCCTCCACAGGAAGCTCCAGGAGGGAACTGTGGTCCTTGTCCTCCAAAGGGAGACCCCTGGGCTTTCCCAACACTCCCAGATGTCTGAGGAAGAGGGGCTCCGGGCCTCCTCCACACCACCATGGATATCAGGGATGGGGCAATAGCAGAAGGATGAGCTGTCTGGGACAGGCACTGCTGGGAGAGGATGAGGAGGGGCTGTAGACTGTGGGAGGCAGGTTCCAGGGCCAGGGCAGCAGGCATGGGTGGCCAGAGCAAGTGGGCGCACAGTCCAGGCTGTTGCCTTCAGTGGGGTGTGGGCTGGGGGGAACCATGCAAAGCTGGCTGGGTTTTGAGAGCTTCAAACCTTCACTGACCTTGCCCCGTCTCCCCTCACCAGCCTTCCTGCTCTGGGACCCAACCAAGGTGCCCCCCAGACTGCAGGCTGTGACCGATGACCACATCCGGATGCACAAGGTCCTGCAGGAGTCGGGCCTGAAGTATGTGGCTGTGATGCCACCACACATCGGTGAGTCCGCCCAGCTTCAGCCCCACACCTGGGATCCCCTCACCCTGCCTGGCAGGTTCCTTTTCGTTGTTGTTATTGTCTTTTTTGGGGTCACACCTGGTGATGCTCAGGGCTTACTCCTGGCTCTGCACTCAGGAATGACTCCTGGCAGTGCTGGGGGACCATATGGGATGGAACCTGGGTAGGTCAAGTGCAAGGCAAGTGCCCTACCCGCTGTACTATTGCTCCAGCCCGGGCAGGGTACCGTCTAACAGATGGGCTCTCTGGGGCTCAGCCCTGTGGAAGAGTCTCTCTCTCTCTCTCTCTCTCTCTCTCTCTCTCTCTCTCTCTCTTTCATAATGTAGAAGTACTGCTACTTATTTCATCATTTTAAGCTGATTGAATTACCACCCTCTCTCTTAGGACGTGTTTAAGATATCCTAGATGGTCTCTGTGACCATTTCTTCCTACCTGGAACTGACTGCCCTCCCTCCCATCTCCCTCCTCCCTCCCATCCCTTCTCATGCTGCTGGGCACTAAAGTGACCTCAGTACTGCGCCCCCACCTCTGCCCATTGCCCTTCCCTTCCCTTTCCTCCGCTCCCTCCTTTCTCCCCTCCCTCCCTTTCTCCCTGCCTCTCCCCCTCCCACCCTCCCTCTTTCCTTCCTTCCTTCCTTCCTTCCTTCCTTCCTTCCTTCCTTCCTTCCTCCCTCCCTCCCTCCCTCCCTCCCTCCCTCCCAGTGATGCTCAAGAAACCATATGAGGTACCAGGGATTAGTTTTTGTTTTTATTCATTTGGGTGCTATTTCATTAGCACCCCGGGGGGACCCTGCGATGCTGAGAATTGAGCCCAGGGTCTCCACATACATAGCATGAACCCTTTGAGCCAGCTGCTTGGCCCTAGCTGGTTTTTATTTGATTTAATTGATTAGTGTATTGGAGTGGGGGGGGGGGTCCCCAAGCAGTGCTCAGGAGGCCGGGTAACCCTGCTGGCAATTTTTAGCCAACCAGGTCAATAGTTGAAGAGGTGCTGCTTGGACCCTGAGGAGCACCTGTGTCTCACCAGAGGGGCTCAGGAGCCTCTAGGACACACCTGGCAATGCTCAGGGGACCATGTGCTGTCAAGGATTGAGCCCAGCCAGGTTGGACACAAGCCTAAGCCCAGTACAACTCCCAGCCACTCCTTTATTTTTCATTTGTTATGAATTTTTTTTTTCCTGTGGCCACAATCAGCGACACTCAAGGGTTACTTTGGTCTCTGCATGCAGGAATTACCTCTTGGAGTGCTCAGGGGACCATATGAGATGTTGGGGATTGAACTCAGGTTGGTCACATGCAAGGCAAGCACCTTACCCACTGTGCTATGGCTCCAACCCCTCATTTTAATTGTTTTTCTCTCCCATCCTCCTTTCCTCTGTGACTGGAAGTCATGAAGACACATACCTGGCCAAGGGATGCTCCAAGGGCTCCCCACTTTAGCTGGGGTGCTCTGTAAGGCCCAGGTGCAATGCTCATTCATGGGGTGGGGCACGGCCATGTGCAGACATACTCGCAGGGTCACTCCCGTGGCACTGGTCACGAGTCTGCTCCAGGAGGGGGCGTCATCTTCTTTCTAGCTGCAATGATTGTGCACATTAGCCCGCAGAGGTGAGGATCAGGGACAGCCAAGCATTCAGGGTCACGCTTTATGTGAGCCACTAGGCTGGGCTCAGACCAGAGCTGCCTGTCTGGGGCTGGAGTGATAGTACAGTGGGGAGGGCATTTGCCCTGCACGCAGCTGACCTGGGTTTGATTACCAGCATCCCGTATAGTCCCCTAAGCACTGCCAGGAGTAATTCCTGAGTGCTAGGAGTAACCCCTGTGCATCGCTGGGTGTGACCCAAAAAGCAAACACACACACACACACACACACACACACACACACACACACACACACACAGAGCTGCCTGTCTCTGAGCCTTCCCTGATCCCTGGGCTCTCTCACTTGCCCATTTGTCCGTCCTTCCTTCCTCCCTTCTTTCCTTTCCGTTTTTGGGCCACACTTGGCAATGCTCAGGACTTACTCCTGGCTCTGAACTCAGGAATTACTCCTGGTGGGGCTCAAGGGACCATATGGGATGCGGGGATCAAACCCGGGTTGGCCATGTGCAAGGCAAGTGCCCTCCCCACTGTACTGTCACTCTGGTCTCTTTTTCTATTTTTTCCTGGATGATGAAAATTTTATTTAAGAGAACAGAAAGAAAGGGGAAAGGTCAGGAAGGCTCTCATGGAACAAGGGGTGTCTCCTAAGCAGGATTTCCCCTTTCACTTTTTGTTTGCTTGGAAGCCACACCCACCACTGTTCGGGCTTATTCCTGGCTCTGCTATTAGGGATCACTCTTGACAGAGCTCAGGTAACCCTTTGGAGTGCTGAGGAGTCACACTAGGACACCTGCATGCAGCACAAGCGCCTTCCTCACTGTGCAAGCTCTCCATCCCAATCCAGTCCATTCTTACTGGCTCTCTCATTGGTCTGTTAGCTTCTTGGTTGCTTCCTCCTAGCAAATGTCTCAATATTGAGGGTACAGATTCTTGTGTTGTTAACTCCTCACTGGGTATCCAGCACTTGACATAAGAAGACAACAGTTGGGGGTGGTGGGAGGGATACTGGGATCACTGGTGGTGGAGAATGAGCACTGGTGGAGGGATGGGTACTTGATCATTGTATGACTGAAAGGTAAGTACAAAAGTTTGTAAGTTTGTAACTGTACCTCACTGTAATACATCAAAAAATCACTCTATCACTGTATCACTATCATCCCATTGTTCATCGATTTACTCGCGCATGCGCCAATAGCGTCTCCATTTGTCCCAGCCCTGAGATTTTAGCAGCCTCTCCTTACTTGTCTTTCCCAACGCTGCCATATTGGAGGCTCTTTCAGGGTCAGAGGAATGAGACCCGTTATTGTTACTTTTTTGGCATATTGAATATGCCACGGGTAGCTTTCCAGGCTCTGCCGACATCGAAATAATAATAATAATAATAATAATAATAATAATAATAATAAAAACAGTGACCAAAACACACACACACACACAAAAGAATACAACAGTAAGGACTTGTCATATGAAGGAAATAAAGAGTATATTTAGGGGGTCTTGAGCGATAGTACAGCAGGTAAGGCTCTTGTCTGCCAACCCAGGTTCGATCCTAAGTATCCCATAGGTTCCCCCGAGCCTGCCAGGAGTGATCTCAGAGCACAGCCAGGTGTGACCCCTCTACCCTCCCCCTCCAAAAATAAAAACTATTTGGGGCGAAGGTTGTGGCTCAGTGGTTAAACACATACCTTGCATGTAAGAAACTTGGTAGGTCTGGAGCACTAACACAGTGGTGAAGGCATTTATTTGCCTTGTATGTGGCCAACCTGGATTCGATCCCTGGCAGCCCATATGGCCACCCGAGCACAGCCATGAGTACGTTCCTCACTGCATTCCTGGGTGCGGAGCAGAAGTAACCCTTGAGCATCACCAGGTGTGGCTTCTCCACGCTGCCCCCCCCCCAAAAGCTGGGGGTTTCATCCCCAGCTTTGCAAAAAAGAAAAGGAGATAGTTGAGTGCCCTGTGTTTGGGAAGGGCACTCTGTCCTTTGCTGGCTCATACTCTAGGCTGGCAGGATGAAGGAGAGAGAAGGACTTTTTGCTTCATTTGTCCGCTTACCTTGCAGGAGATCAGCCTCTGACCGGGGACTACACGGTCACCCTGGATGGACGGGGACCCTCAAGGGTCATCTCCAAACATGACCTGGGCCACTTCATGCTGCGCTGCCTCACCACGGACGAGTATGATGGGCACAACACCTACCCCTCCCACCAGTATGACTAGAGTCCACCCGGCTTGTGGGCAGCAGCTCCAGAGAACGGAGCAAGGGAGCAATAAACGGAGCCCAGAGTTTCAGATGATTCCAGAAGACCTGACACTGTGGCATTTCTCTCTCCCTGTGTCCCTGTGTCTCTGTCTGCCTCTCTGTGGGCTTTTTTGTCCATCATTCATTCACCTTTTCAATACCAGTATATCCCATAATGGTCCTGTGCCTTCAGGGATCTCCCAAGTGCCCATGGGAAAACAGTGGGGCTCAGGCTCTGGGAGATGAAGTCTGAGGAGCAAAGAAAGTTCTGTGGAAGAGGGCTCCATTGGAGATCTTTCTGGGTAAGAGTGAGCCAGGGCGAGGGCAGGGAGAATCTAGCCGCTAAGGCACTTGCCTTGCATGAAGCCACTTCGGTCGCCATCCTGACACTATACCTGGCCCTCTGGCCACAGCTAAGGGTCACTCCTGAGCACAGAGCCTGAAAGCCACTCTGAGGCCTTGAGCACCAAAAACTCAAATAAGCAAAAAAAAAAAAAAAAAGAAAAGGAATGAGCCGGGGGAATGTTCTAAAGTATGCTGGCATCCTGGGTGGAAGGGACCTCGTGAGTGCTGCCCACATGGCTCAAGTGGCAGCGTCCATGACTGGGATGGGCCAGGGCCCAAGTTTCACTCCCAGCACCCCATGGCTCCAGCACCTCCATTGGAAGTATCACTGTATCACTGTCATCCCGTTGTTCATCGATTTACTTGAGTGGGAACCAGTAGCGTCTCCATTCATCCCAGCCCTGAGATTTTAGCAGCCTCTCCTTAGTCATCTTTCCCAATGAAACTGCCGTACTAGAGGCTCTTTCGGGGTCAGGGGAATGAGAACCGTTATTGTTACTGTTTTTGGCATATCGAATACGCCACAGGTAGCTTGCCAAGGCTCTGCCGTGCAGGTGGGATACTCTCAGTAGCTTGCTGGGCTCTCTGAGAGGCATATATATATATATATATATATATTTTTATATATATATATATATATCTGTGATTTGTTGCCTACTGTCTGAACCCCATCAAATATGGTGTGGTAATCATGGAAAATGGGTATGATTTTGTTTGTTTGTTTGTTTTGCTTTTTGGGTCATACCTGGCATGATGCTCAGGTGTTACTCCTGGCTCTGCACTCAGGAATTACTTCTGGCAGTGCTGGAGAGGACCATATGGAATGCTGGGAATTGAACCCAGGTGGGCCACATGCAAGGCAAACGCCCTACCTGCTGTGCTATCTCTCCAGCCCCGGGAGTGTCTTATCATGTATACAATCTATAATAATAATTTTAAATAGTTATTTTAAAAAATTAAGAAATCACTCGAGTCAGACCAGGAGACAGAAAAGCTCCCAATTCTTCTGCAGAGCTGCCATCCCTCCCCTCCAGTGAATACTATTTTATAGGACTGGAATGCTGGGACAAGGGTTAAAACACTTGCTGCATGCCGTGGACTCTGGTTCGATCCCCAGTACCACATAGGGTGTCCTGACATGCCAGGAGTGACCCCTGAACACAGCCAGGAGTCAGCCCTAAGTCTAGCCAGATGGTCCGCATTGAAGAAACTGGGCCCAGAAGTCAAGCTGGGCACAGGCATTGTGATAAATCTGAGCTTGGTTCTGAGGTTTTCTGGAGGAGTGGAACAAGGGAGGGAACCATGTTTGCTTGGTGCTTTGTTTTGTTTGGTGTTTTGTGGCCACACCTAGTGGTGCTCAGGAGCTACTCCCAGCTCAGTGCTCAGGACTGGGGATTAAACCCAGGGCTCCTACATGCAAATCTTGCACTCCAGTACTTTGTGTGTGTGTGGTGGGGGGTGTCGGGGAGGGCACCCCTGGTAGTGCTTCCTCTCTTTCTCCCATTTCTCCCTTTCCCCTCACCCTCCCCCATCAAAGTTCCTTTGCAAAGTTCCTTTCTTCCTCCAAAGTACCTGACTGCCTCTGCAAACAGCAGGATAACTTGGTTGATAAAAAAGCGGTGAGAACTGGTCTGAGGAATCTTAGGCTCCCTTTCCAGCCACAGACTGGAACAAACTACCTCCTCCTGAGGATAACGTGTAGGTATTGGCCGCACACAAGACAGGCTGCCTTAACCTCTCTACTATCTTGGGCCCCTTCCCTCTTTCTCTTTCTGTCATACTACCTGGGCATTTATCAACTGGGCACTGCTATGTGTCCAGCCCTGTGCTAGCCAATGCTAAGGAGTGGGTGACCTCAGTAACCTTGTCCCCAGAAAGCCCTCAACCTAGACAGAGACAGCCGGGGCCAAGATGGGAAAGGCAGGGGCCATAGTAAAGCTAGGAGGGTACTTACCTTCCACACGGTAGACCTGCGTTCGATAACTGTATCCCATGTGGTCGCCCGACCACCGCCAGGAGTGATTCCTGAGTGCAGGACCAGGAGTAACCCCTGATCATTGCCAGGTGTGCCCCCAAAAAAAAAGATGGGGAAGGCACCGCAAAGGAGTTTGGGCAGAAATGAGGGGATCATGGGAAGCCAGGGGAACCCAGAGTGAGAATAGGAAGATCCTCTTAGAGAGTAAACCTTGGAGTTGAATTAGGCTGAGAGGTGGTCTGGGAATTGAAGATGTATTTTTCAGGATAAGAAAACAAAATTGGGGGCCGGAGTGATAGTACAGCAGGAAGGGTGTTTGCCTTGCATGTGGCTGACCCAGGTTCGATCCCTGACATTCCATATGGTCCCCCAAGCACTGCCAGGACTAATTCCTGAGTGCAGAGCCAGGAGCAACCCCTGAGCATCGCTGGGTGTGACCCAAAAAGCAAATAAATAATATTTAAAAAAAGAAGAAAAGAAAACAGATTTATGGGGCTGGAGAAATAGTACAGTGGGTATAGTGCATAAGGTCCTCCAAGCACCGCCAGGAGTGATTCCTAGGAGCAGAACCAGGACAAATCCCTGAGCATTGCTGGGTGTGGCAAAAGAAATTTTTTTAAGAGTAGGAAAAAAAGAAACAGTTTTCAAAGCCAGAGCATTAGTACAGCACATAGGACATTTGTCTTGCATGGGGTCGACCAGGGTTCAATCCTCAGCATCCTATATGGTCCCTGTGTCCCACCAGGAGTGATTATAGAGCACAGATACAACCTCTGAGCTCTGCCAGTAGAACTACAAAAACAAAACGAAGTAAAAAAAAAACAATTTTAGAGTCTGGAGAGATAAGTACAGTGTAAGAGCTTGCATATAGCCTGAGATTCAGGATCCATACCCAAGCACCTAGTACGATTCCTTGAGAAGGGCTAAGAATGGGCACACAAAACCGGGAGAAAGCCCTGAGCACAGCCTAGTGTGGCCCAAAAACCAAAAAAGAAGAAAACAGGTTTAGGGTCAGCAGAAGGTCCAAAGGCTGGGGCACCTGTGCTCATGCCTAAAACCCAGGCTTGATCTTAAGATATTAGGGTCCTGGGGCTGGAGCCATAGCACAGAGGATAGGGCATTTGCCTTACATGCGGCCAACCCGGGTTTCATTCCCAGCATCCCATATGGTCCCCTGAGCACCACCAGGAGTGATTCCTGAGTGCATGAGCCAGGAGTAACCCCTGTGCATCGCCGGGTGTGACCCCCCCCAAAAAAAACTTAGGGTTCATAGCCTGGAGCGACCCCACAGCAAGGAGTCAGGAGACATCCCAGCACCACTGGGCATGGCCCCCCCCCAAAAAAAAGATAGGTAACAGGATTAAAGGGGGCAGGGCTGTGGCTCTCAGACAGAACCTTTACCTAATAAAGAAGAGAGAACTGATTTAGGAATTTAGAGGTTAAGCAGCGGCAGGAGGAGTGCTAGCTCAGTGAGCTGGAGTACAAATCGTGCGGACTGGAGCAGTTCCCAAAGACTGCTTGGTTCAGAGAGCGCCCCCCCACCCCTCCCCAGCACTGACTCCGGAGTAGCCTCCTGCACCTACGGGTGTGGTCCAAGAACCCAAGCCAACTCCGCTTCCATTTCTTGAGTATTCGCGGGTAAGTTCAAAAAATAAGGGAAACGGACAAAAATCTCTGTTCCGAATGGTACTGGGCAAGCGTGAAACATTTTAGAAAAGCAAAGTGATTCAGTGTTGCAGGAAGGTCAACAGCAAACTGGGTATCAGGTTCTGGAAAAGTTAATATGGACTTTTAGGAGGAGCCGGGAGCGAGTTTCCAGGGCCATGCTGAATTAGAGGGGGACCTCAAGAGAACACGCTGAGAAAAAAAAAAAAAGGCTTCAGAATTAATTACGAAAGTGGGGCCACAGGCTACAGCTGGGGCGGGGCTGTGATCACCCCGGCAACCTCAACTGCGCTAACCCATTGGCTGCTCTTCCGCTGCGTCACCCAGCCCGCCGCGCCCGCCCCCGAAACCCCAGGGGTGCGGCCTCCATGAGTTGCTCCGCATTGGTCACTTGGAAAACGAGGAGGGGTAGTGATTGCCGGCCAGTTTTGTTCCGCGACGAGGTCTAAGCCTGTGCTATCAAGGGGTCTGAGGGCAGTGCTGACGACCTAGGAGTCGCAACAGTAGCTGAATTAAAGGAAACAGTTTTTAACGTCCCCGCCACCCTCCCACCCCAGAGCCGAGGCTCCGCCCCGGGGCGAGTCGGAATCCTTTAAATGGTCCTGGGCGCCAGGGACGGGAGGGCGGGTCCGACGTCTCCAGGCAACCGGCCGGTGGCCCCGCCCAGCCAATCCTCGCCCGGCAGCGGGCATCATTCCAACCAATCGCGGCTCGCGGCTCGGTCCGGGGCGGAGCTGAGTGGGCCCGGAGCCAGACGGAGAGGCCCGGGAGAGGCGAGAGAGGCCCCTGCCCAGCAGTGAAGGGTGGCGGAGCTGCGGATGTTTCAGGAGGTGCTCATTCCGAACCTGGCAGCGAAGGTGAGGGGTGGCTGCCCGGGTTGGGTTCTGCCATGGTTTGAAGGAGGTGGAGGCGCGGCACGGAAAGTTGCGGAGGCGGGGTCTAAGCGGGAGTTGGGGGGGTTCCCGATTAAGAGTGATGATAAGCTTTAGAGAGGTTTGGGGGAGTCTGAGACTTCAGTTAGAGAGCCTGGGCGGCAGTAGTTAGGGCAAAATTTTCGAGTGGAGGGAGTTTGAGACGGGGACATGGTGTGTCTGGAGAAGCGGAAAAACCTGGGAAGAAACTTTTGGGTCAGGGAATCTGGAGAGAACAATTCGGGTTGAGTACGGGGCTTAAGAATTCTGGGGAACAATACTGCGAGATGTGAGGGGCTGGAACCGGGATCCTGAGCGTTTGGAGAAGTGAAAGAACAAGATGCAAGGAATCTTGCTCGGTCTTCCAGACTCGGTGGCGCGGCTGGGGTGCTGGAGAAGAGTTCCAGCGTTCGGCGCTTGGAGCCGGAGGGGGAGTTTGGAGATGAAGTCGGGAGGCTTTTTTGGAAGGGTTGAATAGGAGAAAATTAAACGGGGGTAAGGTCTCAGAATTGAAATGAAGCTAGTCTTCCGCACGGAGTGGATCGGAGGGCAGTTTGTAGTTTTTGAGCGATATGTTAGGGACCCGAGAGCAGTTTCGGGGTAGACTCTAGACTCCTTCGGACCCAGAGAAAGCAGCTTCAGAGTTGGCGTTTAGGGTGGGGGGAGGGGTACTCCGGGCGGGGAGCTCAGACCGGCCGCCCTGGAGGCAACGGAGGGCGGGGCTCGGCTAGCGCCGGGCAGCTGGACGTCCGGGTTCCCCTCCCCCACCCCTCCCTGTGCGCATGCTCGGAGGGAGGGCGGGGGTTGGTCCCTGTGGTTTGCTGAGCCCTCTGGGGACTGTAGTGCGCGCTCGACGTCAATGCCTATGCCCGGAGGCTATTTGCCTTTTTTCCCAGAAGGCCTTGAGCGAAATTGGGGCGTGTCTGCCCGCTGAATAGAGGGGCGAGGTCGCGGGAGAGTCGAGAGCTACCTGATTGGAAGGGCCGGTGGGGGGCGGGGCTTGGCTTTAGTCTCGTCCCAACTAGTTTTCCTTTGGGGCGTTTTGCACGGGAAAGCCAAAGGCACTGGTGGAGGAAGAGGGGAGGCCACTTCCAAGCTCAAGGTCGCTTAGGAAGAGGGAATGGACAGAAAGAGCGGCCCTGTGAAAGGAGAGGCGATCAAGAAAAGGTTCCCTTACAGGGCGCCAGGTGGTGCAAATAAAATTCTTGGATTATATTATTGGTGATTAACTCCTTCCGTAAAATGTTTCCTTTGCGGTGGGCCCTATGTGTATTACTCGTGGGATCGACGTGACAATGTGGTGGTAATGTCTACAATCCCCGTTTTACAGATGAGGAAACTGAGGCCCAGCGAGGTGATCTTACATCACTTTCCCAAGATCACACAGCTGAGCAGTGTCAGAGGCAGAATTCAAACCCAGGATTCCCTCCTTCCACTCCAGGTCTCTGTACTCCACACCTGTCTTGTGTAACACCTTTGAAGAAATGAGTAATGTGGAGAGTACAGATTTAGGATTCAGAAGGACTTGAGTTAGATGAGAAAAATTGAGCCTCAAGGATGTAAATTCACTGTTCAAGGCCACATCGGCAAGTAAGTGGGCTTCACCTAGCACCGGTTCGATCGAGATCGAGTTCTCATGTGCTGAGTCATAATGAGACTTCCCCCCCTTAGCCTTGTGAGATTTTGCTGCTTTCCTTTGACAGATGCGGAAACTGAGGTTGAGATGGTTAAACATCAGCCCCCCAAATCAAGCAGGAGCTGTGGGATCAGAACTGGTTCTGCTGTGTCTGATTCCTTACCCCCCCTCCCCACTTTTCTCTGCAGGGCATCATGGTTGGGGGCTTGAAGAGGAAACACTCGGATGTGGAGGAGGAGGAAGATGAGAAATGGGACTGGAGTCCCGCAGGCCTGCGGAGCTACCAGCAAGCCCTGCTGCGAATCTCCCTCGACAAAGTTCAGCGCAGCCTGGGCCCCCGTGCCCCCAGCTTGCGCCGGCATGTCCTGATCCACAATACGCTCCAGCAGCTGCAGGCGGCGCTCTGCCTGGCGCCCACACCGGCCCTGCCCCCGGAGCCCCTGTTCCTGGGTGAGGAGGACTTTTCCCTGTCCTCCACCATTGGCTCTATTCTCAGGGAGCTGGACACCACCATGGACGAGAGCGAGCCCCCGCAGAATCCAGTGGCGCCCCCAGCACCCCAAAATGAAGTGCCACACCAGCCTGATCCGGTCTTTTTGGAAGCGCTGAGTTCCCGGTACCTGGAGGACTCCAGCCTGGACGATTTTTTTCTGGACATTGACACATCCACGGTGGAGAAGGAGCCCACGCTGGCCCCACCCGAGCCCCCGCACAACCTCTTCTGTGCCCCAGGCTCCTGGGAGTGGAACGAACTTGATCACATCATGGAAATTATTCTGGGATCCTAAAACTTGGAAGGGGGCGTGGGGGGGGTGGTTCCTTCCTCATCTCAGGCGGGCTGGAGCCCAGGAGGCAAATCTGTATGTGTGTGTGTTGGGGGAGGGGGGCCCTCTCCTCCCACTGCAGGGTTCCACAGACCATCTTGCATGTGTGTGTGTGTCTGGTTACCACCACCTTCTGTGAAGGTGTTTTTTTTTTTTTTTCCCTGAATTAATTTATCTACTCCAAATGCCTTAACAAGACTGTTTCTGGGAATCTGATTTCCCTCTTCACATTTCTTCTGCCTTGTCCTCCCAGTTCCTTCTCCCCTGGTGACCACTGGGGCCCTCAGGGAAGATAAAACTGGGCCTGTGAAGGTCGCCCAGCAGGGGCTGTCTGTTGCTATGGAAACCAGGCCCTGCCTCTCTGCACCTCCCAGAAGTGGAAAGGGGCTGGCATCCTCCCCCTGCCCAGGCTGAATCCTACCTCCTTGGCAGGACCCCAGTCCCAGCAGCCTCCTGATTGATAACCAGGCCGGACCACGTGCAATAGGATGGAAACCAAACTGCTCCATGCCGCACTATTTAAAGAAAGGCGGGTTTTGTGGTGGCTTTTTTTTTTCCTTTGTTTGTATTTTTTTTTTTTTAATAAAAGTATTTTGGAAGGGATGGTGTGTTTCTCGACTTCACTGGGTCGGTAGGGAGGGAACTGGGTAAATTCCCTAGACACCTCCACCTCTAGCCTGCCAAAATTGGGGCTTATTACTGAGTGCTTAAGTTAAGTCATTACATTCTTATGTAGATATGAGGCCCATATTTTACCTGGAAGGAGCCTGAGGTTCAGGCAGGTAAGTAATATGATGGGGGTCATACAAGGAGGAAAAAGGACCATGAAACTAGGACATTCCGTCTTTTTACTTCTGGGCCTGTTTTTGTGCTGCTGTTTGTAGTTACTTGATTAACAGGAGCAAGATACTGAGGTACATGAATTGCTAGTCAAACAATAGCTTGAGACTCAAGTCTCACTGGGGCCAGAGAGAGTACAGGGGCTAAGGTGCTTGCCTTGCAATCCTTGGTACCACATAATATTCCCCTAGGATATCCCTGAGCTAGGAGTAAGTCCTGAGTACCATGGGTGTGCACCTCCCAGCCCCCCAAAGTAGACAGTCATGACAAAGGATTGGCATGAATATATGCTTTGTATGTGGGGAGCCCTGGGTTCAATCCCTGACCACCTGAACTCCCCAGCAGTGCTGGGTGTGGCCAAAACAGTTTTTCTATGAAATGTGAGATCTAGAAGATGAAAATGCCTTATCCTGCCCCCTGCAATGTTAGGTGCTCAGGATTTATTTGGAAAATTTAATTCCAGGGAAATGGAAAAGAGAAAGTATAGCAGGTAGGACATTTGCACACTGCCAACCTGGGTTTGGTCCCTGGCATCCCTATGGTACCCCAAGCACCACCAGGAGTAATTCCTGAGTGCAGAGCCAGGAATAATCCCTAAACATGGGCGCTGGAATGATAGCACAGTGGGTATGGCGTTGGCCTTGCACACGGTTGACCCGGGTTCAATTCCCAGCATCCCATATGGTCCCCCAAGCACTGCCAAGATTGATTTCTGAGTGCAGAGCCAGGAGTAACCCCTATGCATCGCTGGGTGTGACCCAAAAAGAAAAAAAAATCCTGAACATAATTGGCTGTAACCAAAAAAGCCAAAAAAAAAAAAAAAGGAGCGGGGAAAATGCAGTGTTTGAAGCTGCTCCATTGCACAAACCTGGTGAGTTGATGACTGCTTTAGGGACTTAGGGACTTTTCTAGAAGCACTGCAAAAGAGGAACACAAGCCTGGCATAGTCGTTAGGCTGGGAAAGGGGTTTTTTTGCAGGTGCTTCTGGCTCAAAGCCATAGTCTCACCCTAAGAGGGACCTAGCATCAAAGTTTGAAAGTTGTGAGTAGCTTTTAACATGCTGTGCTAGTCCAGAAAAAGGTGGTCTTGAGGAAATCTCCACAAGGCACATGAGGACACTGGATCAACACTGGATCATGTTTACTTATGCTTAAGAGAATAAAACCCCAACTTTTGGGAGCCAGAGAGATAGTCCAGGAGGTATAGTGCTTAACTTGCATGTGACCAATTCTTCCTATTCAAGCCTCATACTATGTATGCACCCCGTGTACCCCGCCACCTAGCTTCATCAAGGCCTCAGTTTTCCTATTCTCCCCTCTTCCCATGCTACTGTCTTTTGAGTCCATGTTCATTCCCACCTCAGGGCTGTTCAGGCACCTCAGGGCTGTTCATTCCCACCTCAGGGCGGTTCAGGCACCTGCCCTGAACAGCCAGAGAATACTTCACCCATGGCCTTTAGCAATCTAAATGTCCCCATCTCAGAAGGGGACATTGCCCTCTCTGTTCTTCCTAGTTCAACATGTTCTGGGACAAAACTCCCCACCTGGCACCCCACCTCCATTGTTTTGTTTTTGGGCCACTCACAGCAGTGCTCGGGGCTTAAATCCTGGCTCTGTGCTCAGGGAATCATTGCTGGTGGGGTTCAGGGGACCATATGGGATTCTAGAGATTGAATCCTAGTCAGTCACATGGAAGGCAAGTGCCCTACCCACTATACTAACTCTGGCCTCATGTATACATACACACTCATACAGATTGTTTACTTTGTAGCATGCACCTTCCAATCTCAAGTGATTTATTATTTGTTTGTGGTTAGCTTCTTTGCCTGCTGGAAATTTAGGAGCAGTTGTCTTGTTCCTTGCCTACAACCATGTTTGACACAGGTCACGGGATGCCGGGGATCGAACCTGGGATGGCTGCTGGCAAGGTAAAAGTCCCACCCCCTGTACTATTGCTACGGCTCTGAAAACCATGAACTCTGGACCAGCTTCCCTCCCCCACCCCCTCATGCTTATGCTCCTATGCTTCACACACTATAACACTACTATTCTTCAAACACACCCGCATGTCTCAACCTCTAGAACTGAGGAATTCCTGCCTTGCTGAGTGATTCTGCAAAACGTAAGAGCAAGGGACCGGGTACATACCCAGCTCTGATCAGCATGCCCATCTATTAAATGGCCTTTGGTGGGTCAGACTCTCTCAGGGACATGCACGGCACTTCCTGGTATCTTAAGGCAGCAGAGGCCTGCAAGGCTGAGGGAGACAAGGAAAAGGCACTAAAAGGTCCTCGGTGGGTTGTCAAATGCTGCAGAGAAAAAGAGGCTTGATCTTCAAGCCCCTGTTCTCCTTTGAATAACGATCTTCCTTGCGTCTCTTGATGTTTTTATGCTTGCCTGTGTTCTCTCTCTCGATAATGTATTTCTGCTCCCCTCACATCTTTTAAATAAATTCCAATAAGATATATCTTGCTTCAAAACAAAAAAAAAAAAAGAAAGAAAAAGCGAGGGGCTGTGATGGGGTGTTGCTATTTATGTGAGATGGACAGGTCCTCATTAACAAGGGAAGCTTTCAGTGAGAATATGAAGAAAGTGAGAGGTGAACTCAGTGTCTGCAGGGGATGCAGCCCGGCAGAGGGAAGGGACAGTGCGAACTGCCCCGAGGTCAGAATGGGAATGGAGTGTTTCCCTGTGAGCAAAGGGAACCAGGAAAGCGCGTTGGGATCGGGGAGGGTGTCAGGCTGCAGACCATCTAGGATCTGTGGAAGGATTTGACCTTTACATTGGGTGAGACCGAGAGGAAAGACAGGACAGGCTCTTTGCCCTAAAAGGAAACCTCGTGCAGAGGAGCCGTGTCGCTCTCCCGCTGTGCCACAGAGAACCTGCAGAAGGAGCCCCCAAACTGAGGCTCAAAAAGGCCCGTATCGTACCCGGTTCAAGAACTGACTAGAGAAACGGAAAAGGCTGGTCCCGCCGAGAGAACCTGGTCGCAAGGGCAGAGTCCACCTTTTAGCCTCCGCTAGCCCGGAGGCCCCGCGTTGGGGGAGGGGCCACGGCAGTCGGGGCGGGGCTGAGAACTTGACCCGCCTATCAGGGCGGGTTCTTTTCTGACCCCGCCTCCAGGGGCGGGGCGTGGGCGGCACTCACTTACCTGCCCACCCTCCACCCACGCGCTGGCCTGCGACCCGGTACCAGGCCATCAGCAGTGGCCAGGAGCCGGGTCGGCGCCTCCTCCCTCCCCTGAGGCTGGGTGGGGTGGCCTGGGCGGGGCTCTCTCCCCCCTCCTTCCCCCCCTGCTCGCTCGAGGAGGCTCTTCCTCTGAGCCGGCTTGGCCTGGTAGCTTGGTTTCATTTCCCCAGGCCCAATCTCTCTCCTCTCCCTCTTCCATTCCCCCCTTCAGCACATTTCTGGCTGCTTCTTCACTTTCAGGTATCAGCTTTCTAGTCGCCTCCTCAAGGCTGCACTCCGGGATTGCTCAATAGCAGACGTCTCAAAAAAAAAAAAAAAACAGCAGATGTCTTTTCTAAATGTCGGAATTATCCATATCCACCACCACTTCCACTCCCCTAATTTTAATTTTGTTCAATCCCCCCACAAAAGCAGGGATTATCTTCCTCATTTGTTTACCATTAGGAGCTTCTCATCCTATTCAGAACGAAAAGCAAAAGTTCAGGACGTGGAGAAATAGTACAGAAGGTAGGGTACTTGCCTTGCAAGTGACTGACCTGCACCTCATATGGTCCCCTGAGGTCGGCTGGCTGTGCCAGGAGTAAACCCAAAGGGTGGGGGGGGGGGGGCGGGGGAGGCAAAACGTTCATGAAGGGCCTGAAATTAAAGGGTCTGAAACTTCTCTGACCTCCCTGGCCAAATGGGATTCAGCTACTCTGGCCTAATTCCTGGTCAACCATATATTCCCACTTCAGGATCTTTGCACTGGTCCTTCCCTCTGGCTAGAGTACTTTGTCCTGAGCCTTCCTACCCCTCATTTCACCAGGTCGCTCCTTAAATGGGGTCACCTCTGCAGGGACCCTTGACCCCACCAGCACTCTGACTTACCTGCACATTCCTACTCATAACTCTCCTTTCTGCCTTATGCTTTTCCTTTTCACCTTTCTAGAGATTATTCTCTATTTTCAAGTTTCTTGCTCACCTCTGCACATCAGAAATTTTTGTCTGATTTTACTTTGTGTCATCTTTAGTGTCTGGCCCACAACACTCGCTCAGTCCACAAATATTTGTGAAGCAGTGAATGTAGCCTGATTCTTTTCTCTCCCCATCCCATCTGAACTATCCCAGGAGAGACCCTTTGAGGCTGCTTCATTGCTGTTCCCCCATCATTTACAACAGTGTGAACAGCATAGCAGGTGCTCGATAAACACACAATTATTCAGTGTTATTGAGTCTCACCAAGAGTCTCCTACAAGCTTTTTTTTTTTTTTTTTTTTTTTTTTTCAGAAAAGTCCCTTGGATATTCTGGGACTTCTTTAAAGAAATGTTGAGAAGGGAATGATTAAATGATGTAAACTTGTCTAACATAGGTCTTGGTTCTAATTAACATTGGCGCTCTCTCTCTCTCTCTCTCTTTCCCATTATTATTTGTTTTGTTTCTGGGCCAAGCCTATCCAACAGTGCTCAGGGCTTGCTCCTGGCTTTGCACTTAGGGATCACTCTTGGCAGTGCTTAAGGGATCAAGTGAGGTGTTGGATCAAACCTCAGTTGGCCAAATACCAGGCCAGTGCCCTACCTGCTGTACTCTCTCAACCTAATTTTACTCTCATTCTTTTTTGGGGGGACCACACCCAGCAATGCTCAGTGGTATCTCCCGGGCTCAGTGCTCAGGAATTTGGGGGACCATATGGGATGCCAGGCTGGAACCTGGGTCAGCTCTATGCGAGACAAATGCCCTACCTGCTGTACCCACTAGTCTATCTCTCCAGCCCAGTCATGTACCTTTGATTCTGCAATATTTCCCCAACTCCACCGAATCCTTTTGCGTATTCTTGAAATTAAACATTTCTTCCAACAGTACAGTTGTAATCTTGATGTGCCATATTTTAATATAAATGTCCCACCATCAGGAAGGGGCCATCCCCAGCAGTGCTCAGGATTTAATCCTGACTCTATGCTCAGGGCTAACTCCTGAAAGGGCTAAGGGGACCCTGTGGGGTGGCGGGGATCAAACCTGGGTCAGCTATGTGCAAGGTAAACACTCTACCACTCTACCTGCTGAACTATTGCTCCAGTCCTAGATACCCTACATGTTTAAGAGCTTACTTTGATTGTAGTACTTGTAGCACTGTCGTTCCGTTGTTCATAGATTTGCTGGAGCGGGCACCAGTAACGTCTCCATTGTGAGACTTGCTGTTACTGTTTTTGGCATTTCGAATACACCACGGATAGCTTGCCAGTCTCTGCCGTGCATGCGGGTGGAATACTCTTGGTAGTTTGCCGGGCTCTCCGAGAGGGATGGAGAAATCGAACCCGGGTCGGCCGTGTGTAAGGCAAACACCCTACCTGCTGTGCTATCGCTCCAGCCCCTACTTTGACTAGAAGCTTTATTTTATTTATTTTTTGTTTTCAGGCCATACCTGGCTCTGCTCAGGGCTTACTCCTGGCTCTGTGCTCAGGGATCACTCCTGTCCGGGATGGTGGTGGTGGTAGGGAGCAATATAGGGTGGGGGGATCAAACTTGTTAGCATTCCTGCAAGACAAGTTAAGTGCCTTGTGCCAGCATTATCTTTCTGGCCCCTAACTAGGAATTTTATTCACAACTAATAGGTCCTTGCAGGTAAATTAGCATATGAGCTACTTGTAAATCCCAGCATCAATTTCTCAGCCCAGAGTTAACCTCCTCTCTACCTGTTACCCAACGGGTCTCTACCTTAAACTTAGTAACAATCCCAATTACTCTTTGCTACTAACAAAAGACACTGTTGCAGATCACAGAAGGATTGAAATAAATTTTCTACTTAATTTTCCAAACTATTCAGTCAGCCAGACTCCATTTCCCTTCTTTAAAGATCAGGGAATTAGAACTAAGACCCTTGCCAAGGTCACCCAGAGACTGAAGGAATGGAGATCAGACTGGGAATCCAGTGGCTTCCTTGAGGCTCCCGCTGCTCACCCACCCCCACACTCTCCACAACTCCCCTCTGGTTTTTAGCCACAACTAAGCCCAACCGCCCTGAACTTGCTGAATCTGGAAGTAGAGATACTATCTTTTTTTTTTTTTTTTTGGTCTTTGGGCCACACCCAGAGATGCCCAGGGTTTATTCCTGGTCTCCTTTCTCCACACTCAGGGATCACACCTGGCAGTTCTTGGAGGACCATATGGGATGGCAGAGATCGAACCTCGGAACAGCGGCGTGCAAGGCAAGCGCCCTCCCCACTGTACTATATTGCTCTGGTCCTTAGAGATACAACCTTATTGAAAGTTTTCTGAGTTCCAAGAAGTGGGCAAGATGATGCCCCCTTGTAACACACTTCGCCGCGTTCAGAGAAGTCAAATGTGCTTTTTCCAAGGTCACGCAGAATATGCATCATTAGAATTTGAACCCAAATCTATGTAGCGTCGTGCTGCCCGTCGAGGTGCGGGCCCCTTACGCCGGTCAATGTCGGGTTCCCGAGGTACAGGTATGAAGGCCCCGCACCGCTAGAGGCAAACGCCTCTCCCCACCCAACAAACCTGACACCTCGCTCCTCTCGGCTCCCGGCAGGAAGCCTCCGGGGCATGCGCGCTGAATCGAACCTTGACTACCTTCGGACCTGCCCCCACCAGGTTCCGCCCCTCTCCACCCAGAACCAATCACTGCGTGGAGGGCGGGCAACACCGGCCGGCCAGGCTCCGCCCTTCTCTTCCATTGCCCAATCACAGAGTGGAAGGCGGGCCTCCAGTGGAGTGGGCGGTAACTAAGGGGAGTCCAGGGCTGCGAGTCGTGCGCCGGAGTCAGAAGTACGTCTCGCGACCCAGGCGCCGGCCGCGGGGCTACTGAGGGATCCCGAGAGCGATGCTGCCGCCGCCGTCGCTCCCTGATTGGCTGCGGTCGGCTCTCTCTTCGTTCTGATTGGCAGGCTGCGGCTGGGTATGTAAATGAAGGGAAGGGGCCGGCGGCAGGGAGAGAGGGGGGCCCGGCGGCGGCGGCGGGGTCTTTGCGTAGGTTCGATCCCCGGCTCCGGCAGGTTCGCGCCGGGGCTGCCCCAGATCGACACGCACGGGCCTTTCCGTGCCGCGCGCCCCAGCCTGGCCGGGTGAATCACGCCGCAGTCAGGGAAGGGGGCGGAGGCGCCGGCTCTCTGGCTCCGGCTGCGTGACTCACCCGCCTCCGCCGCCGCCGCTTCGGGAGGAGCCGCCTCCGCTGCCTTCCGGAAGCGAGCACAGGCCGAGGGGGCAGCGCAACCCCTGGGGGTCCCAGGCCGCACGACCCCGGCCTCTGGCAGCCGGAATCTGCGTGTTGGGGTGCAGTGTCAACGGGGTGGCAGGGGTCCGAGGAGTCGCGACCCCGGTGAGGGGGGTGGGGGACAGACGGCCTGGCGCCGCTAGGGGGCGCCGGCCCGGGGCCGGGGGCGGAGTCGGGGGGTGAGGGTTGAATTCCTGAGGTTCGGAACTCCCGGGCCTTTACCGAAGGCGCCCGGGACCCAGGTTAGGGATCCTGTGTGCGGTCACATCGAAGGTCCTGCTGGACCTCCGACGGTGGCCAGTGCAAAAACGCAATTTGGACCAGGGGTGCAGAACTCCAGGGCGCCCCCAGCCCAGGAGTGCCGGGAGGCGGTGGGGAAGGGGGTCTTCAAACCGCTCTCTGACTTGCGAGCCCTCCCAGCAGGCTTTCCCGGCAAGTTCAGTCCGCTCTGCCTTCCACATAGTCAATCCGGAATCCAGCATCTTTCCGGCTCCACCAACTACCACCTTGTCTGAGTTCCCATTATCTCTGACCCAGCCTGCGGTAGACGAGTGGGGTCCCGAACCAGCTCCGGCCTCGCCCCTCGCCCTTCCTGCCACCCCCCGGATCCGGAAAAGCCCCCAGTCTCACTCCTCTAGGTTCAGAACCTCTTCAAGGACCCCCTGCCACACTCACAATCACATCGACCCACTTCCTTGGTCTCTAACCACCGCCCCAGACCACTCAGTACCTTATCTCTGTCTGTCCCACTATGCTGGGCTGTTTTCATAGTAAATGTTTTCAACCTTGTCCACTTTCTTTGCCTTTGCTTGTTGGTTTTATTTTGCTTGTTTTGTTTTGTTCCTCTTTGGGGAATACTATCCTGCTGCTCATTCCATGACTGACATGGGGTTCAGGTGTCACCTCCTCAGTGAAGCCTTCCCTGATCACTCAGTAGAAACTTTTAGCAGTGTCCCAACACTCGCTGTCCAATTCCTCTCTGTATTTGTTCATGTATTGTCGGCTGCATGCTGGACACTTAGTCCATTTAGACTGTACCGTGAGAAACAACTGCTTTTCCAGGTTATAAAACATTTTAGGGATCAGAGAGAGTATAGGGGTTAAGGTGCTTGCCTTGCACTCGGCCAACTGCAGTTTGATCATCACCAGCTCAGAGGGTCCCCCAAGCACAACCTGAGCAAGAGCCAAGAGTTAGCCCTGAGCACTCCCGGGTGTGGCCCAAAAGCAAATAAGACAAAGAAAGGTTGAATATCAGACGTTTCATATAGCACATTGAAAACATAAATGCTAATAATTATTAAAGAATACTCAATGAGTGATGATTGTGTTTCAGACCCAGTTGTAATTTTTATTTATGTCTCATTCATTGCCCCAAACCAACTCTCTGATATAATAAGATTATCATTTGCTTTTTAATGTTTGGGGACCACACTCATCTGTGGTCAGAACTCTCCTTGCTGTACTATGGCTCTGGCCCTTTCATTCACCTCTTTTTTTTCTTTGTGTGTGTTTGTGTGTGTGTGTGTGTGTGTGCGTGTGTGTGCGTGTGTGTGTGCGTGTGTGTGTGCGCGCGCGCGCGCGCATGCGGGCCATGCCCCTCAATGTTCAGGGATTGTTCCTAACTCTGCACTCAGGAATTACTCCTGGCAGTGCTCAGGGGACCAAATGTGATGCTGTGGATCGAACCTGGGTCAGCCACGTGCAAGGCAAGCACCCTGCCCGCTGTGCTAAGGGCCCCTCTCATTCACCTCTTAAAGGTTCTTTAACTCAGTGAGGTTTGGTGACTTCTCAGGGGCTCCCAGACTGCAGTTGTATAAACTTCAAGCACCCAATGACTTATCTCTCTCTGCAGATGATGCTAAGCAAGAGCCTGAAACGTAAGCGGGAGGAGGAGGAGGAGGAGAGGAAGGAAGACACCTGGTGGCTGGGTCCTGGCCACGCTGCTGAGGCACAGGGCCCCCCTGCCGCTGCCTCCAGCTCCCTCTTTGACCTGTCGGTGCTCAAACTGCACCATAGCCTGCGGCAGAGTGAGCCTGACCTGAGGCATTTGGTGCTGGTTGTGAACACGCTCCGGCGGATCCAGGCATCCATGGCCCCTGCAGCTGCCCTGCCCCTCGTGCCCAGCCCGCCCGTCGTCCCCAGTGTGGTGGACAGCCTGCTGGCCAGCTCGGATGCCAGCCTCTCGGCCTCCATGGCCAGCCTCTTGGAGGACCTCAGCCAGATTGAGGGCTTGAGTCAGGCCCCCCAGCCCCTGGCTGATGAGGGGCCACCTGGCCGCCTGACGGGGCCAGCCTCTACTGGTCTGGATGACTTGGACCTGGTGGACCCAGCCACCGGCTGTCTGCTGGACAATGGGCTTGAGTGTCTGTTTGAGGATATCGACACCTCCATGTACGACAGCGAACTGTGGGCACCCGCTTCTGAGGGTCTCAAAGCCGGCCCCGTGGAGGCCCCCAGCAAGGAGGAAGCTTCCGAGCTGGATGAGCTGGACTACCTCATGGACATGCTGGTCAGCACACAGGAACTGGAGCGGCTGCCAGGGCCGGGGCGCTGACCTCCCCTGCGGCTGGATGGTTTGTCTGGTGGCCAGGCTGAGCCGAGCGGCCCCGCCATGCTCTGAAGGGACCTTCAGTTCAGAGAGGAGGCTCTGAGCACAGGGGGTCGGCCCAGGCATCCTCCCTCCCTCCGGCCTGTTGTCTGGGGCTGAGGAGGCCTTCTGGGGTTGGCCCTCAGCGTGATGACAGGGCCGGGGACTGGAATGTGATATGACCAGACCCTGGGCCAGACTGAAACCGCCAAGGTCAGAGTCGGGGAATATTCTTTTCCCTGATGGGCGAGGAGACCCCAATCAGTGTTTTGAAATTAAAATGAAAGTTCAGAATCTGTGTTCTTTTTTTGTGGAATGTATCCCTGTATCCCCAGCGCAGCACTCAGCGCTGGATGTGTTGACTCGCTTTTGAACCACAGAATGGGGGCGGAGCGGGGCCTGTTTATCCCCATTTTATAGGTGAGGAACTGAGGCTGAAGCAAGTCTCCCTGGGGGAGGTGGGTTTCTCATCAGAAACTTAATCCCGTCTGGTCTGGTCACTGATCTTCAGACTGGAGGATCTACTGCCACGGGCCTCCATTAGCCCCTTGTGTAAACCTAGGGAGGGGCGGGGACACCCAGGCACTATTTGTTTTTGCGCTGCTTGAGGTTGCTCCTCGCTTGCCCTGCGCTCTGCTCAGATATTACTCCCTGTGGTGCTCCGGACCTTATGGGATACCAGCGACCAAATCCGCAAGGCGAGCACCCAGCTGCTGAACTCTTATCTCTAGTCTGTCCCACTCCCCACTCCAACCCCCACAGAAACATTTTTTAAAACCGAGATCTAGTCTTTGGGGCTGAGAGTGGAGGGCGAAGGTGAGTTTCCCTTGAATAGGATGGGGAGCCCTCCCAAGAAAAGGCTCCAAGGAAAGAGACTTGAGGAAGTTTTGATTTGGGGGGTGGGGGAGCACATCCAGTGGTGTTCAGGGATCACTCCTGGCAGGGCTGGTGCTGTGGTGACACTCCGGAACGCAGACTCAAACCCGGGTCTACTGCATGTGCGAGCAAGGCAGCAAGTGCTGTAAACCGCACCCCCCATCTCCCCTCCAGCCCCCAGGGCAAGTTTTAACAAAAATGAGCCCGGGGGGCGGGCGTGGGGGGGAGCCCCGCCGCGGCCGGCCCTGCAGCCGGCTCCCCGGGCTCGCGGCCCGGCACCAGGGCGGCCGCTCGGCCTTCCTTCGCCGCTGCGAGCGAGCCAGGCGCCAGCGAGCTGAGCCACCTGCGGGCCGGCGCGTGTGATAGGCCGGGCGCGGGGTGTCTGCGCCGCCCCCGCCGTCCAGCCGCATTCCTGGCCGGGCTGGGAGGGGCGGCACACTCAGAGGCCTGGCACGGGACCCGGCCGCGTCCTTCCTGGCGGCCGTGGGGGCAGGGCAGCGCCCGGGGGGACGGGGGTGCAGGGCGCGGCCCCAGAAGCTGCCCGCAGGCAGCGGAGGCGCGGGCGTGGGGGGCCGGGGGCCCCGAGTCGAGGCCCGGCGAGGAGCCGAGGACCCGCGAGGGAGGACACGGAGCGGGGGGCGTCCCCCAGGGGAAACACGGGCCGGGGGACACCCCAGTGCTCGGGCCCCGGCGCCTCCCCTCGGGCCGGAAGCTTCAGGGAGGGCCAAGCCCGGGTGGAGCGGGGAGGGGGGGAGGGGTGCAGTTTCGGGCCTGCCCCGCGGGCGGGAAGGGGCGTGCCCAGCCGGCTTCCTGGAGGAGGGCAGGAAGTCGTGCCCATTTCTGGAGGTGGCCGAGGTGGCCCCGGGGAAATGGCCCGGAAGGAGCTGGAACCTGGCCCCGAGTAGTGGCGGGGGGACGAGTGGGGGGGGCTTGCAAGCACCGAGCTCTCCCCACCTCGGGTCGCTCTTGCCCCCCCGCACCCCTCGGACCCAGACCTAGACCTAGAGCCTGGGGCAGTTTAGGCTGAACGCAACAGTGCCCCCTGGTGCCCAGTCTGAGGGTCTGCGCTCCCTGCTTTCTATTCTCAGAGAGGGGTCCTGACATGTGGGGGGTGAAGGCCTGTCTCCCACACTTCTCAGTGCCACCTCGGGGAAAAAACTCCGTGATACCCACCGATGCCAGCAGCTGTGTCTCAGCCTAGAGGCTGCCACCTGCCCCTGAGCCCCGCCCAGAACCGCCCAGAGCCCTGGGCCTGTTGCTAAGGTTGCGTACTGCTCAGGGATCCCAGTGCCTTGGCACCCATGGGCTTAGGGACCTGCTCCGTGTGTGTGTGTGTGTGTGTGTGTGTCTCCAAGCCTGCCTCATGGCTCTGTGTGTTTGTGTCCAAGCCTGCCTCCTGGCTCTGTGTGTGTGTATGTGTGATGTGTGTTTGTGTGTGTGTCCAAGCCTGCCTCCTGGCTCTGTGTGTGTGTATGTGTGTGTGTGTCCAAGCCTGCCTCCTGGCTCTGTGTGTGTGTGTGTGTGTGTATGTGTATGTGTGTGTGTGTATCCAAGCCTGCCTCCTGGGCCTGTGTGTGTGTATGTGTTTGTCCAAGCCTGCCTCCTGGCTTCTGTGTGTGTGTGTGTGTGTGTGTGTGTGTCTGTCTGTCTGTCTGTCTGTCTGTCTGTCTGTCTGTCTCTGCCTGCCTGCCTGCCTGCCTGCCTGTCTGTCTGAGCAGAGCAGGCCTCCTGGCTCTGCCCTAGCCCTCCGCCCTCGGCCCGACCCCTGCGCATTCCAGGGCCCACTCCATTCCTCACTGCCTCTGGGCGCTGCCTTTCACAGAGGCCCAGTGTCTTCCCCTCAGAGTCGCCCGAGGCCAGCTCCCCTCCATCCTCAGCTTCCCTGTCCCACCAGCACTTTTGTCCTCCAACACCTGATATAGCTTGGCCTGTTCTGGTCTCCCCCCACCCCCCATCCCCTGCAAGCATTTGTGGCTCCTGGGGCATCTGTGGGGGACCCAATGGGTAAGGTAGAAAAAACAAATCTATTCATTTTTCCCTCACCCCAGTTCACTCCCTCCTTTGGGATCCGAACCTTGCTTGCCCCAGCTTCTTCCTCCAACCTTGACACCCCTCCACCCCCCACCTCCCCCACCCCCAGCCCTGAGCCCATTGGATGAGCACCCCAGGTACACAGGTGGGTGCACTGTGGGATTCTTAGGGTGCTTACTTCGTCCGTGATTAGGGGTGCCAAGCAGAGAAGGGGCTGGACAGCAGGACCACCTGGCTGCTCTTTAGTTTGAGGGCCACACCCAGCCTTGAGGACTCAGGGGACCATGTTGGGTGCTAGGGCTTGAATCCGAGTTGTCTGCAATGCAAAGCTGGTGCCCTCCCTGCTATACTGTCGCTCCAGCCCCAGCCTGGCTGTTCTCTGGCAGTGAGACCCCCTGGTCTGCAAGCTGAAGTAGGGTGCCTCCCTCCAGCAAACTAGGGGTGTGTTTTCTTTTGCAGGGCTGTGGGGAGGGGCGGCGGGGTGTTCTAGAAGAGAACCGGCTCCTATAAGGTCTGGGAGGTGAGGACGCCCCATGCTGCCCCAGGTCTTTGCAGGAATCTGAAAGCACTGGGTTTGGCTGGATATGGGGGCGTGGGGGCAGTAAGGGAGGTGCAGGGATTGGCAGGGCCCCGGTGCACACCCTCAGTCCTCCCTGGCTGCCTTGTGCTATAGGGGTGAGGCAGGAGGGGAAGCTGGGGACCAGGGAGGGACAAAGCAGCCATAGGAAATGGGACTGGGGACACGGGGTGACACTGATGAGCTGGGGTGAGAAAGACCGAGGGTGAGGTCTGGGGATCCCCTCAGAAGGGAGAGGCGACTGCTGAGAACAGAGTGGGGTGCCTGGGGGGACTGGGTCCCTGGGTCCAGATCCGGGGGACAGGAGTGTCGGAGAGCCTGACTTGGTGGTGAGGAAGGGTAGGGGACTCTTTCCCCGACTTGATGGTGGTGAGGGTGGAGGGATCCTGTTTTTCTGGGTTGCTGGAGTTGAGGGGTGGGGGACCCCATTTCCCTGGAGGACACCAGGTGGCCTTGGCTTCTGTTCAGCGAGGGCTGGGACCTTGGGAGAGGTTGGTCCCTAGAGAGGCTCCCACCTCCTCCTTCCCCAAGCCCACAGGATGTCCTGTGTTTACTGAGGTGGCCTGGCCGGAACCACCACCCCCTTAACTCAGCTTCCCATTGCCACACCCAGGGGGTGGGGGTGGGCGGGAGAGAGGGAGAGTGAGGGGAAGTAAAGCAAGGGGGGAGAGCGAGAGCAAGAGCGAGTGAGAGAGAGAGAAAGAGAGAGCGAGAGAATATGAGAACAGTTTCATAGAGACAAAGTTCAAAGAGAGAAAGACCATTCCTCGTCACAGGAAACTGGGGAAAGAAGCTTCTAGAACGCACACCAGGCAGCTTCTGAACCCACAGCTAATGTGTTCCGTCAGGGTAATAGACTGGGGGCTGCCGGGCAGAAAATGGCTGTGCGTGAGCGACCTGGCTTCCTGCACTCAGAGCTGGCCACGGGGACAGCGTGTCCCTGTTTGTCTGATGGTGAGCAGAGGGAGGACTCTTCTCCCCAACGCTAGCCAGTGCCAGAATGACACCTCCACAGGCTGGAACACATGTGGGTCCTGATTCCTCCCTGGCACCACATGAGCCCCCAAATTCCACCAAGAGCTACTTCTGAGCACCAAGATAGGAAAAGATCCTGAGCACCACCAGGTGTGCACACACCCCCAAAAGAATTTAAGTAAATTTTATTTGATTTTTATTTATTTATTTATTTATTTACTTTTGGTTTGGGGGCCATAATCGGTGATACGCAGGGCTTACTCCTGGCTCTGTACTCAGGGATCATTCCTGGCAGGATCGGGAGACCCTATGGAGTGCCTGGGATCAAACCCAGGTCAGTGGCATTCAAGGGAAGCACCCTGCCTGCTCCAGTCCCTTTAAGTAAATTTTATTTATTTATTTATTTATATAATTTGGGCCACACCCAAGGATGCTCAGAGGTTACTCCTGGCTCTGCATTCAGGAATTATTATTATTATTTGTTTTGGGGGACAACACCCGGCGATGCTCAGGGGTTACTTCTGGCTCTGCACTCAGCAATTATTCCTAGCGGTACTTGGGGGACCATTTGAAATGCTGGGGATCAAACCTGGTTGACCTTGTGCAAGGTAAGCACCCACCCTGCTGCACAATCGCTCCAGCCCCAGCTTAAAGTAAACTTAAAAGAAACAAGTCAATTCTAGGGACCAGGAAACTAGCTCAGACAGCTGGAATGCAGACTTCACATGTAGGAGACTGGACTTGATGTCCGGTACCACATGGTTCCTCTAGGGCCACACTAAACTACGCGTAGCCCTGGAGCACTCTTGGGTGTGGCTCCCAAACCCAAAGACAAACAA